TGTTAAAGTAACAGAGTTTATTGGGAGAGCCTGTTCTGGTGAGGTGACCCCTGGGATACTCAGTGACATCACACTCCCATGTAGCGGTGGGCTGGCCTTTTAGCGTGGTGGGCTTTTCTGCTGTTGGAGGTGCCGTGTAGCTCAGGGCTGGGAGAAATGGGGATTGAGTCCGGGTTGGGAATGAGCTTTGCGTGCAACACTAATTGTTCTACTCTTTTCTGAAAAGAGGAAAAGGGAAGTTCTGGTGCTACAACAAAGGAGAGAAATGTTTTGAGTGACTGTGGAGTTCCTGATGTCTGGCATTCCTTAACCCTTTACATTTTATTTGGTGAATAACAAAGCATTAAAAAGTGCAGGCCCACAAGCCCTTCACATTTTTATGAATTTGTGTGTGGAAATTGCTGTGTGTTTGACTGCAGAAGTACCCTGTTCTGTGCAGGAGGTGAGACTCCGACACTGCTCAGACCCCAGGAAGTCACTGATTATACAGGGGAACAGTGGGCGAGTATGTGTTGAGGATCTCTGTAATGGGAGTAGTCTGAGGGATTGACAGTGTGGAATGGTGGCTAGGGTCAAGGGTTCAAATCCTAGGTGGGGACACAACAGCTGTAGTCTTGACCAAGGTAATTTACCCAGACTGCACCAGCAAACCAAGATTTGTTTTATTTTAAGAAAATGAGTTAATGGTAACTTCCATGGAGCAGCATAATGGCATTGAACTAAGGGGGGGCTGCCTCACTCCTCTTCACTCCTGGGTTCAATTCTAGTGTGACGTTTGGGCCCTTCTGTGTGGAGCTTCCATGTTCTTTTCTGGCACTGTATGGAGTTTCCCCAGGTGCTCTGGTTTCCTCCCATAGTGCAAAAACATGCTGGCTAGGGTACTTGGCATCTCTAAATTATCCCCAGTACCCAGAGTGTCTTGGGCGCCTTATCGGATGGGTTCGACTCTGGCTCACATGACCCAGTACTGGACTTCTGTGGCATTTGAAAACAGAGGGATGAACTTAAGCTCTGTAAGTTGAGTTGGAAAATAGCTGGCTACAATTATCCTTTACCATAACAGGTCTTACTCACAAAGTACTGTAAGTTACCCATGCAGAAGGCTAAACCTGCTGTCTCCCTTCCCAGAAAGCTCATCCTCGAATGCAGCCAGTCAGAGCTGGGGTGAGATCTAACTCCTGGGACATTTCCTCAGCAAAGAGAGGCACACTGCAGCCTGTCTGACCTCTGAACATTAGTGGGAGCCCTCAAAGCCAAGTAACAGAGGAGGAGGCAGAGAGGCAGCAAGGAGAGCTCTGGAAACGGAGCTGAATTGCAGTTGCTGACAGCAAGGCTCTTATCTCGAAGAGATCTCGAGGAGACGTTTTTGCATTAAGAGATTGGCTTTGTTCCCAGCAATCCATCTCCCTGTGCTGATGGCAAAGGGCCCGAGATAACAGCACAGCCATTGAGGAAGGGATTAAAGCAGACAGACGGGCAGCCCTAGAGAAGTTAGTCAACAGCGCGGCCACACTGCAGTGCCAGGAAAAGTCGTTCACCTTCACGAAATCCTTCTGGAGAAAACTGACATCTCCTGAAAACATTGTGCTAAATACATTAAAGCTGCATTATGGTCTGCTGCTTGGAATGGAGTAGAGTGGCGTGCGAAACATACAGAAATCGGCAGGGGAGAGGCTGTCTGGGTACTCAGGTGACATCTAGTGGAAAGATGAGCCAAGGAGCCAGTTTCTCTGGGGAACTGCTCTCGGGGAATTTCACTGTAGTGAATCTCGTAGGGGCACGTCTTGCACACAGTCCCATAAACAGAATGAGCACCGAAGCCACTCAACTCATAGGCCAGTAGCCAGAGTGCAGCCACTTTCCAAATTGGTACCAGGAACCAACACTGAGGTTGTTGTTGTTTTTTCCCCCGTTATCCCTTCCTGCATGCAGGGGCAGCAACATCCTGTTGCTGTTTCCGTAACATTATTTGTGCCCAACCTACAACATGGAGGACCTGGCGCCCGATGTGGGACACGGACCCACTACCCTGAGATTATGAGTCTCATGCTCTAACAACAGAGCTAGTACCAACCCTCAGGTGGAAACTGGAACACTTGCTGAAAACCTACATGAACACCAGGAGAACAGAGAGTCAACCTGAGGGCCAGACTCGAACCCAGGACCCTGGAATAGTGAGACAGTAGTACAAGCTACAGTGCCACCCCAGTAATAGCACAACTTCATCAGTCGTGGTCAGACGTCGCATAAGAAAACAGCAAAACATCCATAAAGATTCATGGTACGACAGCAGCTAAGAAAAGTTACAGTAATGTAAGGTAATGTTCCAATTTCAAGCAGAACAGGGTTTTGCAGTGCTTTTATTAAAATATTTATCTGGATAAATTTTGGTTTTACACATTTTTTTGTCTTTTTAAAGCCCTAAGTGCAAAAAATGGCTGTCGCTCCTTTACAGTAAGATTAAGAATACAGCAGATAGAACTGAGCAGAGAAGTCTGGCTGTGGCAGGAGAGGTCAGAAGTTGAGAGCTCCCATTAGCCTATCAAGTGTTCCAGATCCAGATGCAGGCTCTGCTGGTGGAGCCAGGGAGGGCACTGGCTGACAGCTGGGTTCTGCATTGCGTCACTGGAGGTTATAAAGAGGATGTTTCAGTTTTTTCTGTCTCCAGTGAGGTAAACAGCAGCGTGTGATGTGTGTCAGCAGAGAGCTTCTTTCCACATTAAAATACACAATGCTGAGGTACCACTGTGGTGTGTGTGCCTGCTCAGTTTTTGTGCTCAGTGTTGTGTCGCTTATACATAGCTCAGAGTCAAGTCAGCCAATTTTAAGATAGCATGGCTCTTTCTTTTTCTTTTCCTGCCTCTGCAGACTTGTTTCTCTTCTTATTTCAGATTTCAGTGCTCAGGAGTACTTGTTCCACCCTCCTCAAATTTGTGTTCTTAAATGCATTGAACCCTATTTCTGAATCTATGTATATTTGTACGTTTTTATGTCCCTTAAACAGGGGTTTCCAAATCTGGGTTTTTGTTCCACCCGAGTTTTGTAATAACATAATTTAATTCTTAATTTAGTATTCATTTAAACTCTTCAATTGTTTTCAGCTCTTAAACGTGTTGCCTTTCAACATACAATGTTTCATACCTAACTTAATATCTCTAACATCTGAATAGGGAACTCTCAAAAGGTCCAATCAAGTATTATGTAAAGTCTGATGGGGGAAAAAAGCTTGAAGCTTAGCTTGAGCAAATAACACATTTAACCTGCAGGACTGTCAGGGAGCCGCTGTTATAATGAATGTACACGCCCGGCCACAAAGGCTGCACAGGCTGACGCAAAATCAACCTATATCGCCCTCTAGTGGCAGACCCGAGTAGTGCAAGGTGGACTTACGTCACCCCCTATTCTGCACCGCACACAGCAGTCAGCCCTCACAGACTGGAGCTTGCTCGACTGTCACTTCAACACGCCTTTCAGAATTACATCTAAAGTCAGCATATTTCTTCCGAATCAACAGTGAAACAAGAACCAGGGGACACAAGTGCAAATCGTTTGGAAGTGTATTTAAGACAGAGAACAGGAGGCAACCAAACACTTCAAGTCTGATTTAAAAACAAATGACAAAAAGAATGGTTAACAGAAAGTTTGGGTTTATTGACATCATTTATTGACTAAGATCTTAAAAAAAACACTCTGCAGATAAAATCGGATACGAGCTGCATGAAGGCGGAGGCTTCACAGCGACGCTCTGCTGTAGCGGTACAGAGAGCCACGCTCCTGCGCTGTGGCGGACAGACTCCGGGGTCACAGCACAGGATGGACGCCCAGTTCCCCATTCCAGAGGAGGCCCTGAAGGCTTCGGCCTGGCCCAGGCATCCCGCTGTGTTGCTCAAAGGCAACAGCTCCTGGCCGCGCCGTCTCTCGGTCACACCTGCGGCTACAGCCACTGCTCCGTCGCCTTTGGTTTTAGTCTTCATCCGCAAAAAAGGACACGCGCACGTCCAAGACAACGAGGCCGGGCCCCTCTTCCAAATAAGTGCGGAGGCGGGCAGCAGGGGAGCTTTTTCGAAAAAAAAAGGCTCTCCGCACAGTCACGGCTCGTCCCGGGGCCCCGGCCGCTCTGGGCCGTGTCACGTCGCGGTACCTCACAATGACACATTTACAAAACACACCGTTTCACAGACTGCAGGCTGCAGGAAAGGTCAGCTGGTGTCCACTTACAGAAAAAGGCCAGGAAAGAAAACAAAAGACATCGCTACATCGTGGCTTACAGTGATCGGACAGAGATTTCACTCCAGCGTGCTAGACCGCTAGAATCACACCACTGCAGGACAGGACTGACCCATCCCAGTCCCAGAGTGCTAGAGTATCTGCGGGTCTCCTCTGTCTCTTTTCCGAGCTGGAGGAAGTTGGCATATTGCTCCAACTGAGCAACTGAGAGTGGGTTTATAGCTGAGTTGAAGTGAAAACCTACAGACCAACCCTCCGGAACCAGGACCGGACCACCTGCTTCTAGAAGAAGCAAACGGGGACTTCCTTGTTCTGGAGCCACGGGATGTGAAATCCCAGGTCTTCCCGTCTGTTTCAGTGCAGGTCTCTGGTGCAGCCAGCCCCTTAACTAGAACTTAATTATAACTGAACGCATTAACAGTTAATACCACGATTAACTGAAGTAAGGTGAATTGTCAGGTCTGATATGTGGCAACGCTTGATGCGGAACGACACTTCAGCAGGGCCAGGACGATATTTTGCCGAGCGAGACTTTACCGCTTCGAGGATTCTTGGGGTGATTAAACTCGAGCATTTGCTGCTCCCAGTAACTGCCGTTAAATACTTTCTATCAAAAAACGATCAGCCCCCCCCCACCATCCCCCCTCCCAATAGCCCCCGGTAACTGCAAAATACATGCCCACTGTTGACACATGAGAAGCCCTTCCCCTCTACTGTACATCTCGAGACCGCTGAGGGCGAGCAAGCGAGAGCCCCAGGGGCTGCTGGGATAGAGGCGATGGCACTAAGGCCTCTTTGTGACAACAGCTTTGACTGCTCCTCAGACAGCACCAAAAGAACAAGGGCATTTTTGGGACCGGGGGAGGTTCAAAACCGTGAATGGATCTGAACCTGCACAGCACACTGCGTATTTTCGTACTAAGTGCCTGCTGCTGGAGTAGGGGAAGGACGCAGTGCGGCAGGTGTTGAGGATGGCGACACAAGGAGGTTTGTTCAACACTCGGGGCTGCACGAGTCTCTCCTTCACACCAGTGGAAAAGCCGGAGCCCTCAGCCACCCTGGGGCAGACCGAAGCAGGCGCAGACCGTAGTTTTGGATCTGGGGGGGGGGCTGTGAATGAGACTGGGGAGACCTCGAACCCGACACAGGGAGCGCAGGCACTGCAAACACAGGGAATCCGACCGCATCCCGGATAAATATTTACAAAAATACATAGTCACGCACAACATTTGTATTACAGTACAAAGCCCCCAGGTTCCACATTGCCCCCAAAACCAGCTCGGCGCCAGCACTCACTGCCCTGCCCGCCCCTCTTCTGTCTCTGAAAGCCCTGGCCCAACTCCCACAGCAACAGACTGAGAGGTGAGTGCTGGCTAAGGCGAGGGGGTGGGGAGAGGACACACTATCTCATACAAGCCCTCTCCCGAAAAGCCGTTTCGAGGCAATGAAGATCTACAACGAAAAGCCGAACAGTTTTGTGGTCGTCAGCAGTGGAGTAAAAGAAGCCCCTCGCCCCACCATCCAAACGTCCGCCTCCTCTCCGCACAGACAGCTCCACATGCAAGAACCGAAAAACGTCACAAAAAAACGAAGATCCCACCCTCCCCACCCCTTTCCTTTTCCGCTCGTCCGTCCTGCCTCCGGGCGGGTACCTCGAACCCCGGCTCGACGCCGCTGTCCCAGTCAGTCGGTCAGTCCCGGCAGCCAGGGCCGGGTTCCCTTCCCTCTGGGGCGAAAGTAGTACTGAATGAGGGGGGGAGGGGGAGGGGGCGGCAGCAGGAGAGGCCCCCCTGCCCATGGCGAAATGCGTGGCGCGCACACTCGGCTCAGTGCAGGGGCGGGGGGGCGTACTCGGGGCGGCGCGTCTGGATGATGCGGGGGCGGGCCCGGCGCGGCTCCTCCTCCTCAGAGCCTGAGCTGTCGTGGTCGCTCTCGCACACGTGCACCACCACGCTGGGGGTGGTGGAGGTGCCGGCGTGCAGCTCGTACTTCTCACCTGACAAGAGGTCAGAGGTCAGAGGTCAGAGGTCAGAGGTCAGAGGTCAGGTCTCACACACACAGTCCTGGACAGCAAGGTTTCCTTAAACCACCAGATCCTTAATGAGTGGCACTAATTAACCCAATAATCAGTTCACTAGTGACCAGTGTGGCACGCCAGTAGTACAGTGAGAGTTGCAGCTGATAAGCCACCTAGTAGTCATCAAGGCTTCTACTGGGTGTGGATATGTTCACATGTGGTGTGTTAATTGATTAACGAGATAATTAGTGAAGGGCAGAGAGTCGCACTGTCACATTAATTTTATTTTAGTAGCTTGGTATATTAAAGGACACAGGGGGGTAGCTGGTATTGGGTTGTTGACAAGTCGATTTTTCCTCTTGAGTATACTGAAAGGTTGTGGTTAAAGAAATCCTCCTGGTACAAAGACCTTGGCTTTCTGTTCTGATTTCCATGAGCTCAGGCCTGCCGAGAGGTTGGATTGTTGCAGTCACCATGTTGAGGTGCAAAGAAAGGACCAAATATGGGTACTGCTGGCTTTTGACTACACTATCTCACTTATGGTGTGCTTTCTGTGATTGCGTCCAGTGTTTACACAGAGAGTGGTAGTAGCATGGAACAAACAACACAGCTGTGCTGTTGAAGCTGCTACCCTGGTTTCTTTCAAGAAACTATTGGAGGAGATCTTCAGATGAATTAGCTCTTCGCTACCAAATGGGGTGAATGGTCTGATCTAAACTTTTTTGTGCTCTCATGCGTCCCTGAGTGAATCTTCGGATCCACGCACACATGACGGAGTCTTACCTGGCCCCAGCTTGGAGATGGCGCACAGCAGGTCGTAGTTGATGACGGGCGTGGCGTCTGACGACTGACTCCAGCCCACTGGGGGAGAGGCAGGTGGGGAGATCAGATATTGCTTCTCTGGTTTGGGGGGCTCCAGGCGGGGGCTGCCAATGTGCAGAGACTGCAGAGAGAGGTAAAGGGAGGAACACCCATCAGTTCCCTAGTGTCCTAGACACCAAAGTCATTAGAAACCCCAGGAGAGCAATGGCTTGCAATGCACAGACCTGGATTCCTCATAATGGAGCTGAGAGGCAGTGTTCTGTTCAAATAAGCTCGAAACCGTTTTAGCCAGGTAAGATCACTACGGCAGTTTCATCCCTGATTGTTCTATACATCCAGTCATTTTGAGATCACATCATGGATTTTGTCATTATTGTCATTATTCTTTTGTCATCATTCAGAAAACTGCAAAGGCATTCGTTCGCTGTCTGGGTGTTTTTTTGTTAAAATTTTCTGCTGCTGTTGAACTGCTGTTCATTGCCAATGATCTACAGGATCTACAGATCTACAGGACTGTACTGGGGCACCAGGCCCTGCAGTGGAGATCTACAGGACTGTACTGCAGTGGAGATCTACAGGACTGTACTGGGGCACCAGCCCCTGCGATGGAGATCTATATGACTGTACTACAGTGGAGATTTACATGACTGTACTGCAGTGGAGATCTACATGACTGTACTGGAGAGCAGGCTCTTCAGTGGAGATCTACAGGGCTGTACTGCAGTGGAGATCTACATGACTG